GGGGGGGGGGGGAGATGAAATCAGAGGGAGGAGGATGGCACGTGTCTACGTTTTATGGTAGCCTATATTTCCTGCAGGCTCCTAGAGAGTAACCGTGCAAAGTTTGGTTCCAAATTTGTCAAAGGGCTTAGAGTTGTAAAGGAACACACACAGGCAGACATTCCTTTTTATGTACACAGGAGGTCCCAGAACAATTTCCGAAACTCTCGAAGAGGCATAGTACGGATTAAGGTGAACATAAACGTCCTACACCATTTTGCGACATTCGCAATAACTATCGAGATATTAATTATTTTACAAGATTTGCGGACGATCACGCGAGATATGTTAGTTGAGCTGTAGTGGCGACATCTGCCGCCGCGTGCCTGTACAGTAGGTCAAACTAAACAAAAGAGTCCTTTTTCCTAATAATTTTTTAGTTATTAATTGGAGAACATTAATATATTATCGCAAGCGACCATCCCGTCGATTTTCTTTAATCAATAATGCGCGCGTTACGATTTTAGCAGCGATACACGTTGCGCGGGCGATAAGGTAATAGGTAATCACGAAGAGCGCCGTCACGGGCGAGGTGAGATCGAGAGCACCGTTGGGGATCACGCGCGAGAGTTACTTCGCAAGGTCGGTTAATAAAATTAGTGGGGCTAATTCTCCCGCGCCGCGCGCTCGCCATATTGGCTAACTACAGGGGAATTCCAGTGAGTTAACAGCTTCTTTTTTTTTTGCAGCTGAATGAAAGTTTAGTTTATCGGACGGTCGAGCCCGCCTGTCCGCCCCCGCCGACATTGTTGTAGCCGCTAAACCGACGGGCTTTAATCATCCGGAATCTTGCATGCGCGAAGAAAATGAATTCGCTGCAGTCACGCGAATCGCCGTTACGTGCCGGGATCGGCCGTGAGAGTTACTATTTCTTTCGTGGAATAAATCAGTTCGCGCAAAAATTAGCCTACGGTGGAAACGCGCGCGGAGCAAATACGCTTCCCTTTGCGCTCCGCCCGCGCCACATTCGCACATTTCGCGACATTCAGTTCCCGATCGTCCGTCCCGCGGATCTTCCCCGCGCGTGATCGAGCAGAGAGCTGATCTTATCTACGTCGATGAACCGTGATTAAATTTGACTCTTTATCTGTCTTCTTCTCTCTCTTCCTTCTCCCTCTTTCTAGTGGGAAAAGTAAAAAGTGAATTGTGCACAGTTTTAGATAATTGACGTTAATGAAAAAGCGCAGGAAGAACCTGAGAAGCGAGGGATGAAAATAGAGCCGGGAAAAAGGCAAACAATTTTAACTTATACTCTACGAACTTCGCGGCGTCAATTATCCCATGCGCTGCGAGAAAAAAGTGGTGGATCTAAAGAAAATTACAATTACTTTTAGCTACATACTTTCCCATTGTTCCAGCACGAAAATGGTAGTAGTGACACACATATAAAGTTACCATCATCAACATTACAGTTAGATTCAATTAAAAAAAATGTCTGCGTGCATCATTTTACTATTTATTATATTTATTAATCGTCTATCTATTAATCCTCAGCAGAAAGGGTTACCTTTAGGACAATTTTACAAGTCTCGAGTGTTCTTTCGTCCATATTTATCTTTATTTAGAAATGGCACGCAATTCTCGTCAGTATATCTCGTTTCTCGTTTCCGGCGTCACAAATTCAACACGGCCAAGGAGTCTTAAAGTCGCGGTAATTTAACGGGGGATGGGTGAATCACTTCGTTGTAGTTCGAGAGTACAGAACGTGCGAAGAGGCGAGCAACAACAGCAACACACTTGGCAATAAGTTCTTTTTATTTATTAAGAAAAATCTCCCTGTTATTAGCGTCGTTGAGTAAGTACCGTGTCGTATAGTTCTCGCGCGAGGATAAACATATCTCGGCGTTTGTGTCGCATAATTCCGCACGCGTAGCAAAATAAATCGGATATCTTTTGTTTCTTCTTCTCCTTTTTTTTTTTTTATTCTGTACGAAATTGTCGTTGCGGCGAGTCTCGCCTTTACCGGACGAGTCGTTTATCCAAGGCGCTTGACAAGGATGCCGGTCGTGTTTCCTCTTCCTTTTTTTCCTATTTTCTGTTTTTCTCTCTCTTTTTTTTTCTTAATATCGTACAATTAAATTACATCGAGGGTAAATAGGTCGCCGTCCGTATCCGTACGGTTCTCAGAGAGGCTTACATCCGAACGGGTACCGACTAATGCATCGCAATTATATTAAAGTGGCAAGAGAAGCCGCATTCAAACCGCTTTACACGCTAATATTTATAATTACGTAATTCATCACAGCAATAAACAAAATATACGTGTGCGCATGTGGATGTACAAAACTCGTGAGTCGCCTCTCTCGCTCATTCACATACACTCTCTCTCGCTCTCCTCGCTCTCTCTCTTTCGCTCGCTCGCTCGCTCACACATACACATACACTCTCTCTCTCTGTCTCTCCCTCATTTTTTTTTCTATTCTCTCGTTTTTCTCGCGCGAGGGTTGCTCGCGATTTCCGGTTTCTCGCGTTGTCACACCTTACAAATTAGAGCTTACTTTAGAGAAGTATTAGAATTACATCCTGTAATATCTGTTTCCGGAATTCAATACAGCCGCGTCGATTACGGGGATGACGCGGGGCGGGAGTGTGAAGGGCGGGAGGGGGGGAGAGGAGGGGGGGAGAGGAGTTTCATGTTCACGCTGCGCAGGAAGGGCGGTTAGGGGCCAATTAAAAATCGCTAATACGCACGCACAACGGTGTGAGTTCTGTCGAAGAATTTCTCTCGCTAAAGGAATAAACGTGTACGGAGACAAGTTTCGGTGGGAAGAGTAACCGATCGTTCGTTACTTTTGCGATTCGCATAAGGCATTAGAAATTGTGTATTTAAGGCATCGGTCGTCGTTTCTGCTTCGCATCTGGGACGCGCGTAAAGTAACAAGGCCTGCTCTCTTTCTCTCTCTCACACTCTCTCTCTTTTTTTCTATGTCGTTATTATGTCTCGTCTCAAAATAGAGCGTGTATAGAAAGAAAAAACGAAATATAGTCATTACAATATAATAAAGTACCAGTACGCCGATAGAGTATCGTTGATGACGATGATGATAATAATAATAACATATAATGAAGATAACGATGACAGCAATAAAGACGGCACCTACGATCTCGAGATACAACGATGACTGACGATTGATGACGTCGCTTCTTGCTGTCGCAGACGACGCTAACGATATAACGCGCGCGTAATAGTTAGAAAAAAAAATTACACAAAATATATTTATATGTACGTGTGTATATACGACTACGTTTTCGCTTAGCGCGTGAAGTTTCCAGTGTGTATGTATACGTGTGCGTCTGTATGTGTATATGTGTTTTAACGGGGGTTTTAAGGACATATCGCGATAGGTCGTCCTATCTGTACAAAAATAAGAATCTGTCTCGTTATTAAATGCTCAAATATTTAATAATTCGAATCCATACACTTTCGCTTATCAACAAATCACCTGAATTCCGGAACAGTCCATTATTTAGAAAATATATGGTATATATACAATAAAAATGTTTTTAGAGTTCAGCTTCGTTCGTTTCATTCTCTCTCTTTCTCTCTCTCTCTCGCTCTCTCGTTCGTTCGCTCCATCTTTCGCTCTCTTCCTCCCTTCCTTTCTCTCTCTCTCTTTCTCTCTTTCTCTCTCTCTCTCTCTCTCTCTCTCTCTCTCTCTCTCTCTCTTCGTTCTCTTTTTTGGCTGTCACATTTACGCCTAGATGTGATGGATATCACAGAGTTAATGGATGTAGATCCGACTAATGTAGTAATGAAGTGTGTGCTGCGCGTGTGAGTCTTCTTTCTTTTTTTTTTACATGTCTCCCCTTCTTGTCGGCTTTATACTCGCGCTTTTCCCCTACTTTACGCGAGCACGTTCGCGTGGCTCTCTATGTAAGTATCTGTGTGTACGCGTACGCGCATATAATCAATAAAACTGTGTATGTATATATACACATTCCGGTGCGTGAATGCTATTTAATAAAAATATAAAACTATTGAACTCTCTTTTTCTAATTCTCTCTTTCTCTCTCTCTCTCTCTCTCTCTCTCTCTCTCTCTCTCTCTTCGTTCTCTTTTTTGGCTGTCACATTTACGCCTAGATGTGATGGATATCACAGAGTTAATGGATGTAGATCCGACTAATGTAGTAA